ATATTACCCCATTCTAACTCATATTATATTTAAAGAAATATTGGATGTCATTTTATGCATGTCTATATATATATATATTAAAAAATGTCCAACTTGACAAGTCTTTATAGATTTTATAATGTGGGTAATGAATTTTTTTTGGCAGAATAAAGCAATAAACTAATATTAAAAGTAATATGATATTTAACACATATATATATATATATATGATGTATTTATTTAAAATTCCAAAAAATATTGATATAATTTTCTGAGCAGAAAAAATGCCGTTCCTCTCCTGGGTTTGGTGGCTAAAGAATTTTTCTTTAGGACATCAGATCTCGGGTTCGAGGAATGCCCATTGCCAGAAAGCATGAACTTTCTTTATAACCGAGGTATTCTAAAATACCTTTTAATTTATTTATTTTTTTTATAAAGGAAATTACCACATTGCTTATATCCATTAATGACTTTTTATTTAATTATAAAACATTTTTTTTATAAATAAAACAATAATTTTTTAATTAATTTATTTTATTTCACCTAATTCATATTAATGAATACCTCTAAAAATTATAATATTATAATAATTTATATATAATTTAATTTTCAAAACTTTTATTCTTATAGTCTGTTTGGATGATGGTTCAATAATGATAGTATAATTTTTTCATAATTTTTTTTGTTTGTTTGTTTGCAATTCTAAAGATATAGTGTACTTTTTCGCTTGTTGAGTCGTGGTTCTCAAAACCATGATTTTTTTTTTCATTTTTTCAGACTACTGTTCGGTAGTTTTAGGATATTTTGATAATTTTTTTTTTTATATTTTTAATACTTTTTATTATTTACAAAATTATCTTTCATTTTAAATCATTCTACCCGATACTTTTCACACTAATAAACATTGCACATAACATACCATACCCAATATTAATGAACGATTCTTGCAAATTATCCGATCAAGCTCTTAATAATTCAATTATAATAGTTACTTAAGAAATTCCTTGAACTATGAATAATTATATTGAGTAGTGCGGAGGGTCGATCCTCGTACTTGCTTTGGGTGGTTAAAGCTTTGCTTTGCCCACTTCAAGTATGCAAGTTCGATGGATCACCACTTCCATGGTGTTTCCTTCTTGCCAAATTAATTAATTTCAATACCAAATGAGGTATTATAAAATACCTTTTTTCTTTAAAAAAATATATAATAAAAGAAACTAACAAAATAACACGTGTGTGTGTGTGTCTATATATATATATATATATACATGTATGTATGTGTAAATAACAAATAATGGGTATAAAATATTTTATTATAATTTCAAGTTTAATTAGTTAAATCAAAATAATTTTTTAATATAAAATTAATTATATATTTAGTTCAAAATAGATTTTTTGTGATTTTTTTTTTTTTTTTGCCATTACAAACATGTGGTTGTTAAATTGAAGATAAAGAATAAAATTAATTCAATGATCTGTTGAATTTTTAAATTATTTATACTTTTTTGATATAAAATAAATGAATTTAGAGATATTAGCATAAATATATTTTTATATAAAAATAAATACGAAATTTATAATTTAATTAGTAAAAGAGGGAGAGTCTTGGGCAGCTCTTACCTGCTCTTCCGTGGGTTGACCACATGATCAGTCACGGAAGAGCACGGGTTCGAGACCTGGCACAAGCTAGTCCCAGATTTCACCCTAAAACCCAGTGACTATTAACTGAGGTATTGAAAAATACCTTTTCTTTCTAATTTTAATTTAAAATTTTCAAAGCAAAATGTAATTTAATTTTTATTTTCTGTATAAAATAAATATATGAATTGTACTAATTTATTTATATATTTCTATATTTTACTTGAATGATATACAAATATTTCAAATACAATATTTTTTTAATTGAAACCCGAAAATTGAAAAATAAATTTTTTAAAAAATGAGTATTCGGGTTCTTTTTTTATATTTTTATTATCATCTCCATAATTAAAATAATAATAATAATAAAATTTATTAAAATTATTTATTTTTTTTACTGTTATGATTTTTAAACTCTATATAAAATGAGCAAAATACAATTACTTTTTTTTATATAATATGCAAAAACACAATTTTTTAGACTTCAGTTCTTTTGAAAGTTTATATAGATATGTATGCTTACAATATGTTAATAAGATAATATTATATTAATGAAACAAACAAACATCAGTTCTCACACGGTACTACTGGTTCGGAGCCAGTATGATGACATTCAACTCCCGGGTTCGAGAACTGGTACGAGAGAGGAGAGAGAGAAGAAGAAATGGAAAAAAATTGATATATGAGGTATTTTAAAATACCTTTTTTTTTTAAATAAATTAAATATTGTTTAAATTTTTTTTTTTAAATTTTATAAATGCAATAAAAAAATTATTTATGATATATTGTATTGATAAAATAACAAGTTAAATAATATACAATATGAGATCTAATTATTATAAACCATGTTTAAAAATTAACGAGTAAGATTAATAGATCAGATATATGCTAATATTTAAATATTTTGAATTACATATTTGGAGAACAATACGCCTTACATAATTGTATATATAAAAAAAATGATACCTACTAAATGCAAAATGATAGTAAACAATTGAATCTTCTACATTTTCGCACATGTTGTCATTTGATTAATAATTTATTCTCATTCAAGCTTTTCATTATCATATTTTTTTTGCTAAATATATATATATATATTTTAGTTAGAAAAGAACCGACCCTTGTGCTTGCTGTGGGTGGTTAAAGCTTTACTTTATTCACTTCAAGCATGCAAGTTCGAGGGTTCTTCTGGAAATTAAACAAGCAATTTTATTAAAAATGAGGTATTATAAAATACCTTTTTTTTTATTTAGATAATTAAATTTTAAAAATACAATAAAAGAAACTAAAAAATTACAAAAGGACATTTACATGATATTTATATATATAGATGTAAGTAATGATTAATGTAAATATAATATTTTATTATAATTCAATTAGAAAAGTGGTGTTTAGTTCCAAATTTAATTTCATATAATATAAATTTAAAGAAAAATAACTTTAGATTTTTGCAAGTACATTACATAATTTAGATAGGAAAATTTGATTATTCGTCAAATATATAAATTATTAAATTTTTATACACCAAATAATTTGAAATTAAAAATGAAAATACCTCTATATCAGATGCAATATAAATGTATATATATTTACATACAAAAGTTGTATTATCTTTATATCATAAAGTATTTTTTATTTTAATTTTTATTTTTTAAAGCAACATAAATGTAATTTTTTAATTAAAATTGTTTTATATTTCAAATATTTTTATTACCAGACGGCTTCTGTTCCGCACCCTGGGTTTGGTGGCTAATGTTTTTAGAGAACAGTTACCAGGTCACAGGTTCGAGCAACAGGCTGGACCAGACCATGCAAAACCTTATTCTTCTTACCTTAAAATAAGGTATTCTAAAATACCTTTTTCTAAAAAATAAAAGAATTAAATTTTTTTTTTTTAAAAAAAGGATATTGTATTTTACTATTTTTTAATAAAAAATTAAAATAAATATATAAATTTTTGTTTTAACCCGAACAAATTAAATTGAGTTTCAATAAAAATTTAAAATATATCAAGTATATTATAGTAGAATCGTAAAAACAGAATACGATCTTAATTGAAATGCATACATTTATTTCATACACTACGAAAATAGCAAGAAAAAATACATTTTATATATAAAAGAGACTATAATAGGAGATACCAATGTTTATGGTACAAAAATCTCTACAGAAATGGAACATGACCTACTTTTAAGTGCGGTTTGAACTATAAAATCTTTTAATCCACGTCTTCTATGATCTTACAATTGCTTAACGGGCTTCCCAATTGGGCTTTTTTGTCTTATTTTCACGGCCCACAACAAGCCCATTTCCTATCTAAGCCTCATCTAACATTCCATGGTGATTAATGGATATTGTAATTACACATAATTTAAAATTTAAAAATACTTAAAAACATAAAAATTATCCAAGTAATTATACATAATTCATTGCTAAAAATATAACATGTAATTTGACGGGTTCAATATCATACACTTCAAAACATTAGAATCGGATATCATTACCAATAATAAATTATAATTTAGTGTCATTTATTTATAAATTAAGTCTTAAAATATTAATTATTTTTAATTAAATGCTTAATATTTTGACAATTTTTTTTTTTGCCAAAATATATATTTAAATTTCGTGCATTAATATTATTATCAGTTTATCATTATTTATTAGAAAAAAGGTAAAAATGCGGTGAAAAGAACATTTTTGTTGGTAATAAAATTCAGCATCTAGCCCCAACTAGGAGACTATATATATATATATATATATATATATAGATTCATATGCTATATAAGCATATATTTACAGTCATATATATATATATATAAAAACATATATGGAGAACCAATAAATTTTGACCATCAGCATCAACATCTTCTCCGTACAAACATCAATGCTAAAGTTGATTGATGGCAGTACTGATAATTTCTTACAAGTGCTTAAATGTGTCTCTTCACAAATTTTAATTAATTAATTATAATTAGTGAGAAAATTGCACAAGCTGATTATATTATAATAAGTGTGTAAGTATAATTTAATTATTGAAATATATAAATATTATTAAAAAATATTTTAATAAATTAAGTAAAAGCTATAGAATTCAGAACATGAACTGCCCACCTTTTACTTCATTAAATTTCCCCCTTTAAGTACAATCAACCATACCAACCCTTCAAATTTCTAAAATTTAAAAAAAAAAAAGAAAAGAAGAAAATTTCTACATAAAAAGACAACCGGTAATAAAGGGTAATAGTCCCATTTTACGTAGTTAAAAATACTAATACATATATATGTATATATATATATATATGTATCTATAGATATAGCTAGGTAGCCAACCCCAACAAGGACAAAAACCCTTCGTTTAATTATCACTACTTTTATAGCATCTAGTTCTGCATTGGATATCTAACACCAGCTGCCAGTACTCTCTGCTGCTCTATCTGTAAATTAATTACATCCATTATAAGTAATGTCAATATATATTCCTCTTCTTATAAACATAATATACTACAAAGACTACGAAAGAGCAAGAGGTAATTTTTGTTCATATACCTGGAAGAGTTCATGCAGTTTGTTTTTCAGGTAGCAATATTCATGTTCTAGCAGCTCCAGAGCTCGAAGACACCTATATAATCAAAACCCAGATGTTAAAACAACTCCTTTCGTATGGATATATACATATATGGGTAGTATAAATATATATATATGTGTATATATGTACCCAGCACGGTTGTTCTGCTCAGAAGCAGCACGAAAGGCAACGCAGACGTTTCTGACCCGCTTGGCACCGATGCTTGAGCTGCTTCCTATTAACTGATTTAAATGTATTCCCATTTTCTTGTAATCCGAGAATTCTCTATCCATCCTGTTCTCCATATTAAAATAAGTTATAAAAAGATGATCACCAAATATAATATATTGCGAGTGTGTGTGTGTATATATATATATATATATATATAACTGAATTCACGAGATATAACTGAAAGGAAAAGATGATGGAGATAATTACAGTAATGATCTGAAGTTCCTTAACAATTTCTCGGACTCATGAAAGTAGATATTAACAACCTCAGAAACAAAATTAGGAGAACTCTCATCTTCCAGCTGCTGCAGCTGCAAGAACTGCTCATCTAAAACTCCCTGCACAAACTCCAACTCATCACTAAACTAAAAACAATTAAATATCAAACATCATTGTTTAATTACTGATTGCAGAAATGAAAAAGAAGAAACTAGAAGGTGGTGGGTGAGAGGAACAGAACCTGGTGGAAGAGCAACGCGAGCAAACGGTTCATGTCTGCTCGCAACCGATCCGCACCCAAACCCAACATCCACAGAGGCAGACCCGTCTTGACTGATTCTATTTTTCAAAATTTCTTCCAAGTTTTTCTTTGTTCTTCTTCTCTTTTGGGTAATTCACCGTCTTTCTTGCAGGGTTTAGGGGTTTTTGACATGGGAATTTTCTAGCGGGAATAACATGAGAGTTTGAGTTCGAGCCTGCAACTATTTAAAGCATGCCCTTGACCCGTACCCATTAAATAAATTATTATTTTCCCACAAAACTTTTTGAAAATTCAATAAAGCCAGAAAATATTTTTAAATATAATAATATTAATTATTGAATGGTAACTAAACGCACGCGCGGGTGATGCGAGTGAGATAAGGGTTTCGAAAGGTGGGAGGGCGTGAGGTGGAGTGGGACCCAAATCGAGGTAAATGTGGGGTATCAACCGGACCAGCCCACAAAAAGGCAGAGAGGGAGAGGCGGAAGGGGGAGGGAGGCGATTACCTGCTGTGCCAGCACCCGGTGACCTCGCGTGCTGTCTTTTGCGACAGATTAGTGCGGCGTTAAACCCATTCGCGCGTCCGACAACTGCCTGCAGCCGGTGACATGTCAGTAAATAAAAATTTTTACCACCTTTTCGGTTTGATTATAAAATGAATTGTGGCCGTACCACCTCAATATTTCTCTGTTTAAATTTTCTCGAGAAAACTGCCTCATTTTTTCTCGGGAAAACTGCAGGGTTTATACTTAAATTTGTTTGTATCTGCTTTTAACTTCAAATGCCAAAAGAAAAGAAAAAGCTGCAGGAAGTATGGGGGCGGTGGGAGTGCCCGGCGAACAAGACTACTAACTGAGGTGATTGGACACGTGGCGAAATGGGTATTGGTTGCAGGTTTGTTTTGAAAAGAAGTAGTGAGAGCACAGGGTATGAAGCACAAAAATATAGGTCTGTGTGGTTGTATCACAGTGCATTATGGGAATCTATATCGACTATGTGTTTGGGTTTCAGCACACAAAAAGGAATATATGTATGTATGTATATATATATATATATATACATACATACATGTGTGTGTATGTAAGTGTATCTACATGATACTATTAACATTTGGGTTTACCTTTTTTCTAGTTCTTTGAACCATTTTTATTTTTTTTAATAATGACATAACCCTAAATTTAGCCTTAAATGAGCCTGTTTTCTTCTGGTTCTTAATATTATCCTCTCTCTCTCTCTCTCTCTCTCTATATATATATATATATTATATAGACACGGACAAATAAACATTATATATGAGGGGGAGACACGGAAATTCAGTGAATGTGGGAAAAGCTGTGAATCATTTGTTGAAATTATTTTACGAGCAATTGAAGGTGGTAAAGTGTGTGTGTGTGTATATATATATATATATATATATTTAATAGTGTGTATTTGTTAAGTATATAATTGATAATTATATATGTAGGAGCCATACTAGTCCAAGGGCTGAACAAAATACTCACCTAGAACATGGGTTAAGCATTATTTTAGATTCATTGATGAGAATCAGAAGCATGTTGATTATTTATATATATATATATGTATACGTATAATTACTTTATAATTAACAAATTAACCTCGATTTACTCATTTTAAAAGCATGCTCTCCATTGACGTAAGCTACACCCTTATCATATATGACTTAATTAATTAATTATGAATTCATTATAAATTTCTCCCTTTTCTCTCTTCGTGCTCTCTTATAGTCTTTTAATATATAATATATACACATCTCGACCCCCAACACAAATTGATCTTCACATAACTTAATTTATTATTTACATACTAATACATATTTTATTTATAATCAACCAAAAATAAAATTATATTGGTTCGAATTAAAGAATAAGAAAATGATTTGAATTTCATAGTAATAAAAAAATCAAAATACATAAAATGACATGAAATTTTACACGTAAAAAGAGTAAGTATTCCTCAAAAGTATAATTCTAAAGTTCCATTGTAGTTTCTAATGTACTAGAAAGGAGGAAATAGTACAAAGAAGAAGAGAACTAGAAAGCATGCTTTGGATTGATATGAGCAAATTGTACCAAAAGAATTCCTTGTTTATTTATGTCAAACACTTTTTGAAAGCGATTATATCCATATACTAACCCACGGGTGTGTGTATATATATATATATATAATCTAAAGGCTACCCTTCTATGTATATACCATGCTTATATGTGCTTCCATGCTTATTTACCATAACCTATATAAATTATATTTAATAAGAAAATGTTAATCATAGTTACCATGGTCCATTGTCTAGTTAAAAAGATTAAACCTTTTTTTTTATTTGGTTTAATCATTATTATTCCTTTTGTCACTATTGGCTTTGAAATTCCAAATGCTTTGGTGGGTTTAAGAGTTTGAAGTAACCCATTAAGTATGTTATTACCCTTTTTAACTCTCATTTACCCTATCAATATAGTCACTAGAGTAACACATATATATATATATATATATGTGTGTGTGTATGTGTGTACATATAAAATTCAGGGAAGGACTCGATGCTCGAGATGCTTACATTTCTGTCCACTACTTGTTGTTTCATAGGGTTTCTGAAATTACAATGCCCTGATTTTTTGGACATTTGTTCATTCAAATTAAAAATCAATCATTTGAAAACTAGTTTACTATAATGATATACATTTTTCAAGTATTTTCCTCTTCATAATTATAGCTAGCTTAAATTTATTATTATAAATTTTAATAGGTTTAGCAATCCTCACATGATCTTATTATAGGAATAATTATTCAATTATTATTATTATTTTTACTTTTTATATCAATTATCATTTAGTAAATTTAAATAAATTTATTATATTTTTAATATAAAAAATTCACGATAGTTAATTTTTTTTAATTAAAATAATTATGATAAATAAAAAATTCAACCTACCCTTTTAAAGTCTTAATTATATTAATTATAATTTTGTAATTTTAAATAAATCTATTGTATTTTTTAATAAAAAAATATTTTAGATCAAATTTTTTAAATTTTAACAAATATATTATATTTTTAAATAAAAAAATATTCAATGACAGTTAAATTTTTTAATTACGACTATAAATAACTCAGTTACAATTTCATTATTAGGTTGGTTGCGTTGTAAATAAGGTTGGAATAGACTTTTAATTAGTGTTAAATGACTAAAATGCCATTTTATAGTATTTGGTTAAATATGTATTTTAATGTACAACATAATAGTATAATGAAGAGGATATTTTTGGATGTTGAGGGGCAAATTTGTCTTTTGGCAAAGTTTCCTAATAACCCTGACTTCGAAATAATGCCCTCACTCCTGGGCATGGAGTACTTATATTGGACTTTGAAGGGGCCACCATTATAAAAATACACCTGTAAATAAGTGCACTTCATAGACGGTAGAAATGATGAAGGAACAAGAAACAGATGAAGTTATTTCGTTGTATATATGTATATATATATCTGTGTATACATATATGTGTGTGTGTGTGAGATAGAGCAAGTCAATTAGGGTTCGTTAAAAGCCATTCGCCCTTTTTGAGCATCCGTTGGCAGCTTCACGTCCGTCGCTAATCCCACTGATTGAAGGAATTTTATAACGTACCATGTCATGTCCAGTTGCCACCATTCCAGCCCATGTCGAGCTGAGAATTCAAATGCATGGTGATTGTTATGCCAACCTTCCCCAAATGCAAGCACTGCAACCCACCTGTTCATTTATACATTCCCAAAATCAAGTTATATGTATATGTGTATACATGTAGACAGCTTGACACACAATTGTAAGAAATCATACCAGTTGTTCCTTGATAAATCACCAGTATTCCATGCTTGCCTTCCCCATACATGGCAGGCTGAGTTTACCAGCCAAGTGATATGGTATACCCAGACAATCCTCACACCCTGCAGTGCTCAACCATTTCATTTTCAACCCAATTTTCCACTTTTCTTCCATATATCATGTATGCAGCTCTAAATAGTAAAGGGTAGAATTGGTTTTTGGACCATTTGCACAGAAATGTCACGATTATCTCATTGATAAACATGGACCCAGTTAGAGATTTTGAGAAAGATAAGACTTTTCCTTATTGGTTCAAGGGTTGGGTTTTAAGATTTAAAAAACTTCAACTTCCTGCAACATGACAAGACCCACTTGTCCAACTCAAACATAGACAGGCCCACAAAGTGAATCAATGGTGTGAATGAACTTAACATGCACATAACGAAGAAGAAAAAGACTAGGCGATTGCTAAAGACAATCTACAATTGTGGCTCAAGACATGGTTGAGCTCTGAAGAACTTCATGTGGTTTAAGGCAAACACAATAAAAATTATGAAGAAAAAAAAAACTTCCTTACCATTCCCCAGACAATAAAGGGAAAGCCTCCCAAGAAGTAAAGAACTAATCCCAGAGCAGTTGGATGGAGAATGTAGGTATTTTGGAGGAACTTATAGAATGACTGTTTCTCTAAATCCCCAACATTGTTTGGTCCTCCACACTGAAAAGGAAAAAGAAAAGATCCATTCAAGAATGGCATTAGCATACCAATAGCATCATTTTAATGTGTTTGTCTGTCTCTGCGAATTGTTGAAAGGGAAGAAAATGGGGAAGATCAAGATACCCTTTCAAGAACAGAATTGGTATCAAAGAGCCAACTCATGTGACTAAACCAAAATCCTTCAAGAGGGCTATGTGGGTCTCTTTCAGAATCACAGAACTGGTGATGGTACCTATGTGTGCTCACCCAATCAATTGGGTTCCCCTGAAATCACCACACACACACAACAACAACAACAACAAGAACATATTATTCAATGAAAGCAAACTAATAATAAAAGCTGGCCAATGCCGAGCTCAAAATTTTAAGAGAAAGCAAGAAGAAACAAAAACCATTTAATCCCAACTTCAAAACTCAGAAGGGCAACTAACCTGAAGAGCTTGAACTCCACAATATGCAAAACAGTACTCAAGCCATTTTGGCAACTTAAAGCTCTTATGAGAAAGATTCCTATGAAAAGATAAAGTAATACCCAGAAGTCCTGTTACCACATAAAGCCCAAAAGCAACCCAAAAAGCAGACCAATTGAATTGGAATGGTGCAAAAAGAGACAGCAAATGCATCGCCAGAACAACACCGGCAGTGCCTATATCCAGTGAATTCCACCGCCTTCCCAAAAACACATTCCTTTTTCTCTGCACCACCACATCTGATAACAGGATTCTCCTATAACTCCCCACCTCTGGTTCTGGTTCTTTGGCTTCTATTGACACCCCATTTGCCCTTACCACCACATTCCGCTTTTCACTTCTATTCAAATTACCAAACAAACTCGCATTCAGTAGTCTCTGTTTTGTGTTGGATTGATCGGGTTTTGCATTATGGTAACTCAAATTCAGAATAACCTTACTGTTAGGTCTAGTTGTATGGTAAGAACGTGAAGACAAAGACGAAGGCTTTGGTTTCGTTAATGGGGTTGTGGTCAAAGATGAAGCCATAGAAGGAAATGGGTTGTTCTCTTTGTGGGTTTTTAAGAACGTAATGGGTTTATACAGGCCTTTATATATACCAAATCACAAACAGTCAAATTTCTTTCTTGTTATTTTGTGGGTAAGCTCTTTAACGGTACTGTTGCGTTATTCAAAACATGTGGATTGGACCTGGAGAGAGAAAGAGAGGGGATAAGGCGGTGCAGTTTAGGGTTTTTGGGTCTTCTTCAGATTTGCATTTTGGGTATGGTGCAATCAGATCCAGATATTTTCTCTTTTAGGGATATTGATTTTTCTCAAACTTGATTTTTCTCAAACTTCCTTTTTATTTTTTAGTTTTTTTTCTTGTTTTTTTCTGCTACTAATTATCTGTCCCGATATTTTTATAATTTCTCTTCTTTGTGGTCGCTTTTCTTTCAGAGCTCCACTGGACTAAAAACTCTATTTATCTCCAAATCAATACTATTTCTGGAAGTAACTCTCTCCCATCTCCCTCTCTAGGAAGTTAAAGCAGAACTTGAAGAAGTTCCATTAATGGCGGCGACAAGCACGTCAATATTTGCGTCTTCCACGCGGCCTTTATCGGCCACGAAGTATAATTCCACTGGAAAAGCAAACCCATCTTTATCAACCGCACATGGTGAGTCTCTTAGATTTCTGCCATCATCTCTTCCAATTATATACGTTTCTCCTGTTGTCGGCTCTTCTTGGAGTCTTCTTCATAAAATTACTTGGCTCTCAGGTTTTGAAATGATTGTTATGCACGTATTTGGAATTGGGAAATTCCCATTTGTGTTTTTTTGTGAACAAATTCTAGTTGGATAAGGTCACAAGAGCTTGCTGGGTGAAGTTTTTTTCTTTAATTATTTTTTTATAATTAGTTCCTTAGGAAACCCATTTGGAATATGGTGTTATATATGTTCATCATACCAGAACAGTAGTCTGTCAAGTTCTTCTCTTTTAATTTGGAGGTCGAAGATGAAATTAAACTTCTGCTGAATCCCGTTTTAGTAGTGGTAGTTAGCTGATCAAATTCCTTGCCATCATTTTCCTCTGCAGTGTTTTACCTATTTGGTTCGTCCATGATTGTATCTCCAGTTAAATTTATCTATCAGTAGGACACAAGTCATTTTGCTTGAACCTTGCCATGGAAAGTAGCAAGAGATTTCTTGAAGGCTAAAAAATGAGTAACATATACTCTTATAATGCAGTTAGTAGCTTTATGGGCGCTTCATTGCGAAGGAGTTCTCTGAAAAACAAGAAATTAATCAGAATTAGTGGAACAGTGAATGCTGCCGCAACTGTCACAATACCAACTTTGGAAGAAACTAAAGAGTAAAAACGATTCCCACTTCCAAAAATTTCGGAATGCAAAGAATGACATCTGATTCATTTCCAAATTTCCTGTTATTTAACGTAGATATTTGTTTGCAGGTACGCACTTCCTTCCTGGGCTATGTTTGAACTGGGAAAGGCTCCTGTATATTGGAAAACCATGAACGGTCTTCCTCCAACTTCTGTAAGTATGGAGCTGCCACATTGTTCATCTGTGAACACACACGAATTCACAGACAGAGAGTTCTAAGAGAAAATGTTAATTGTGAACTTTGACAGGGAGAGAAGTTGAAGCTTTTCTACAATCCAGCTGCAGCTAAACTTGTTCCAAACGTAGAATACGGGATTGCTTTTAATGGTAATTTCTATACACTTTATCTGAATCTTACAATGAGAATTCAACTGACTTGATTTTATATTCAGTTCTATGCGCTATAATATATTCTTTTAAAATGTTATGATATTATACTACATAGTTTATTCTTCAATTGACTTGTGAATTGCAACCTCTACTGATATCTTGAGGGTGGACTGGAAGTGATGATTGCGCTAGCAGCTGTTTCTGGTTTTCTGGCTGGCAATGAGGTTTTATCATTATTAATTTTCTGTGTTATGTTCTTTGCAGGAGGTTTCAATCAGCCCATCATGTGCGGTGGTGAACCAAGGGCAATGCTTCGGAAAGATAGAGGCAAAGCTGACACCCCGATTTATGTTATCCAAATATGCGTTCCTAAGCATGGTTAGTACCATATCAGAAATAAACTTGTTTCTTGTGATATTAAATTCAGTTCTACAAGTGCTTGTACCTTGCAGCCCTGAACTTGATCTTCTCATTCACAAATGGGGTTGACTGGGATGGTCCTTACAGACTGCAGTTTCAGGTCCCTAGAGCTTGGCGAAACAGACCAATTGAATTCTTCAACCAGGTAGTAAGGGACAACCATCTACTAGTGTAGATTTTTCAGGCCCGGCGAAACAGACCTAGGGCTTGGCACATTCAATTACTTAATTATGGACTAGAATCATTTTTTGTTGAGAGAGTATACAAGTATTTGAAATTGGTCCTGTTGGCAGGGTCTGGCTGAAGAATTGAGTAAAGAAGGTGCCTGTGACAAAGCAATCTTTCCCGATACAAACGTTGTGATCACAAGATGTGCTATGATCGGTAACTTAGCAGTTGAAGGAGTAAGTGAACTCTGTCCTCCAACTTGTTAATAAGCTCTTCGTTTCCTTTATAGCTTAGCTTTTAGATTCAAATCTGAACAATGGGAAATCTTCTCAGGGTGATCGTTGCAATCTTGATCTCGTTCTTGGATGCATGGATCCTAATTCGTACTTATATAACCCACTGGCAAACGTAGATGATGGATCCTGCCCGCTTGAATCTGATTCCGAGTAGAGCTTCAAACTCCACATCGAAAAATCTTATACACCCGCAAAGCCTGCAAGTACACAACCTAAGATTGTGAAACTGCTGCTTCCCCCAACAATATTCAATTGGGGAAAATACAAAAACAGAGCTATTGTAAATTGGGTTAAAAGGTGAATATCTCAATACATGTCAAGAATGGTTCATTGCTCCATTCTGATGTATAAATAAATCTCTTTTTTACTTTGTAGTTGTGAAACTTAAAATGCAGATCATACATATATATATATGTGTATGTATATTTGAAGTGAAAGGAATTGAAAGTTGGCACATGACACATTTAGATAGCTGTCAAATGTCATCAAAGTTATTTCTCATTAATTTCAGGGGCCAGCCTGATATTAAATTCTTAACACAAGATTACTTATATTATCTTATTGACCAAAAGATCATTCAATAATTTTGGTAGGGTTGTTAAACCTTATGCATTTATTTACTTAATTTAGGTTATAAGATAACCTTTTTCTAAAATTATTTATTAAGAAGAATTAGATTTATATATTTATTTTATATATAAAGTGATAAATTTTATATAAATTCGAAAATTTTTAAATAAAAAATAAAAATTTTAACTAGTAGACAATAACATTGTCGGCGACCATCTTGTTTGTTTACGAATTTCTTCCTCATTTGATGATAATCCAATCCAATGACTAAGACTCGGTAAAGATTAAATTAAGAACGTTAATAACAGATTAATAAGCTTGCGATTCATTAGTTTTTTTTTTGTCATTCATTATAAACTCTCAAGAAGTACAAAAGAAAAAGAGAAATTAAGCCAAACATTCTATAAATGGTATTCACTCTTACCCTGCATCTTAAACTAAAACCAATAAATCAAATTACAAAGCAGAATCAATGGCTGCTTAGAAATAAGAAAAATGAAACAAGACATTTTACAAAATCCTTTTTGCCTTCTTCTTGTCTTTTCTTTTCCTTTTCTTTTTGGCTTTCTTGCTTCATAAGAATGGAGCATTTACCTATGGCTAAGTTAACAAAGCCTGTTTTAAAGCATTACTAGAAGCAAAACCATTTTGTCTTGTTTTGGTTTCTTCATACTTACCAGCTAAAGAATCAAATAGAAATCCAGCACCAAACCCAACTGCCAAATCAATTGTGTAATGTCCTCTTGTTCCCAGCAATCTTACAGCTTGAAGCACATTCAGCACATCAAACAAACATGCCATTTCCCATCTCTTCATCCTTCTCATGTCAAGAGATGCAATCACCGATCCTGCTACATGACCCGAGTAAAACAAAAAGAAAGACACGTTCCCTACCGGAAAATCCACTCCCGACCCCAAAAATCCCTGCACAATTTCAAATCTCACCCACTTCAGTATGTTCGAATATAAATTATTATGTCATCTGAACTACATATTAGTCGTCTTTGTAAAAGCTTGTATCGAAATGATTAGTTGGAAAAAGAGACCTGGGGTAATGGAAGCTGTGTTGAATAACCAAGAATCCCTCGACAAGTGAACATGAAGAGAGCCGAGATTGTGGCTCTGGGTCGGCCTTCGATCAGCCAAGTCCATAGAATATAGACTGTTTGCATACCAACAAACACCTAAAACCAAACAGACTAAATCACCACAAATTGACTAAACGACATTGAATCTCACCTGTCATTCCATGTGCAGAAACACAACCCCACTCAACTCCCTCTATCTCACTCTCTTTAATTGCATATCTCTCCACTCTATCCTCTCCTCCAATATCAATTGAAAATGCTTTATGTATCTGACCACAAAATTGGAAAAAATGGAAAAAGAAACAAAACCCAGATCTGGAAATTCATAAAATCAAGTTCAGTACCTATAAACTATAAAGAAACCAAAATATGAAATGCAATTTTTTGCTGAATGAATATGGAAGTACGCAGATAAGAAAAGATAAAATCAGCAAGTAAAAATCTTTATCTACCTCCCCCTCGGTTCTTTTTCTTTTTTCTGAATGCACATTAAACCCACATGCCAAACATAAAAACCGAAGATCAGAAATCTGCCCTAACAGTAACCCATTTGAAAATCAAAAGCAAAATGTTTTGGTAAAAACAAACCCAGATAAAAAAAAAAATAAAATCAATAAGTAAAAATCATTTCCTCCCTCCCCTCTGCTTTCTTTTTTTTTTCCCCGGAACTTCCATCAAACCCACATAATAAATGCAAAACCCAAAGTCAGAAATCTGGCCGCATTGAATCACAAAGCTTGAAAAATTAACAGCGAAATGTTCTGCTGAAAACAAAATACAAAAAGGCATACACAAAGGCCAAGTACGATATGAAGAGTACCGTATTAAGACCAGCCAATAGAGTATTAAGCTGAGGCGAGGAAGCCAACACGTGATGAAGGCGGCGCGTGGCTATAAACCCAATGTCAAAAGGCGGAGAAGACGGTGGCACCATGTGGAGCGTGTACTCCACGCCCATGAAAAACAACAACCCCAAGGCAAACACAGAGGGTATCCAATGGTAGATAGGAACGTTCAAGATATCCCGTAATGTCCAGGTCATGAAAGACGCCCTAAGGGGAGCCCCACCACGAACGCCGCCGCCGCCGCCGCCACCACCGTGGCCATTGACATAGCCGTTCATCTTCTTGCTGGGCATTGGACGTCCAGAGCGGGAAACGGGATGCGGGTGGATGGGGTTGACGGAGTCAGATTTAGGCTTAAGTTCAGGCCGGCGACGGAGCAGGGAGGTGGCGTCCATGTCGGATGAAGACGACGGAAGAAGACATGGAGAAAAGGGCGTGGAGGGTGCTATAAATCATTTGAGGGAAAGGTGGGTGGAGTTTCCAAAGAATTGTTGGTTGGGAAATGAAGACGAAGACATAGCAGCAGAGGAGGAGTGAGAATTTTTGTTTTGTTTTTATTTTCTTTCTCGTTCTTAATTTGGTGGGTTTCGTAGAGGAAATTGGAAACGCGATGTGGGAGAGGAAGAAAATCGGTGGTTTATGAAAAATGGAAACGCGTTGTTCGTGTTTCAAACTTTAATAATAATTAATTTATTTTCATATTAGATCTACATATTTCCTTATTTATATAATTTATTTATTTAAACATTTAAAATTTACTAGAGAATCCAATATTTATTTTTTTGTTAATTACAAAAATGTTTTTTTATTTTATTTTATCTCAATTTTAATTTTGTCTGTGGTACTTTAATTTAAAATATAATATGGAGATGGCATGGAAAATATAAATCAATTAAATTATTAATTTTAAAAAATTATAAAATATTAGATGGGTGATTGTAACGTTGAAATATCAAAATAATGTTATTGTAATTAAGTCAATTTTATGTAATAAATTATATATATTTTTTTAATGGAACTTTGTCTTAAGGGATTAATCTTCCAAACAATATTATAAAAATTATATCTAGTGAATAAAATACTCTTTAGTTTTAATCACCTTACTATATATAAATCACAAGTTGTACATAAAAATATATCACTATACTCTAAACAACCTTTAGTAATAATATATTTTTAAATAATCGTCAAACAAGATCTGATACATTTGGCACCACAAAGAGCATGCCATATTCTCTTCCAAGCCAATATTGTGGCCGAGGATCAAGATTGGCCATTTCTTGAGCCAAACTCTATAACAATTTCACAATATATTGACCATTTTTGGACCACTTTCAAGTAAGTTTATTGAGAAGTAAATACAGACTAAGAAGGATACTTACAATAAGTTGTGGGATAGTCAATGGGAGTAAGTTTGTTATCAAGATAATATTTTAGGTAATAGAAAGTTGAATGATCAAATTAGATACTTTTATGAACCATGACAATATATATACTGATACGAGGTAGACTCTTCAGTTATCAAAAGAGCCAATTATCTAACCAAAGATCAATACTTCACCTGTTATCTATCTTCTACTGCAGCCCATCCTTCAATAGCTCATAGTTGGCTAGAATATTATGCCAAGAGTAACTCCAGCGAGAACTCAATTGTGCATTACAAAAATCCTCTCATTGGAATTATTTAACATGTAATAATTTTTTGAATAAAGAATTTGAATATTAGAATAGTCTCTAAATTTGTTTTGTTATCATTATTTATTAAAGTTGTGAAAATCACATACTGACCTCATGTCTCTTTTCAATCAGACTAACTGGTGAATTTTATATTGATCTCCTTTTTTCTACCGAAATCTTGAAATGAATTATTCTAATTGCAAGCAAATAAATTTTAAGTGTGTATCTTTCATATAATTCATAAAATGTATAAATTTTTATTAAAAAAAAATAAAATAACTAATGTTGAAAACACACAGTATATTTTTTAATAAAATATATTGATTTTCGTTAATTTTATTTTTTAATTGAAAAGTTTGAAGATTTACTTTCTTTCGTTTTCTTTCACCGCTAATGAAAAACATAGCCTAAACTATGTTCGAATTAGAAGAAAATAGGAATTAAAAGGGAAAAGACAAAATATTAATAAATTTTCAAACTTACCTAGCTTGGTAAAAATATTTTAACCTACCTATCATATTACCCTATCCAACTACTAACCGTAGCCTTCTTCTAGTGTATCAACCACTTACTCAGTCTTGCTAAATTATCTATATAGATGAGTTGGTAAGATATTAATTGATTCTAGTTTAAATCTTAATTCTATAAAATAATAATATAAATATATAATGTAAATGTAATAAAATTTTAAACATAAATTATAATTTTAAATTTAAATTGATTGTATTTACATTTTACTACTAAGATCATTTAAACACTAAACTATAATTAAATTTCATATATTAAATAATTAAAATAAAAAAAATTGATTAATTTTAACAATAATGATTGTAATACCCGGGCCAAAAATTTGATCCGGAATTAATTTTAAAATTAAAAAATATGTATAAAAATATAATTTTTTAATTTATAAATTTTTATTTAATATAAAATTAAGAAAAAATAGGTGGAGGATAAAATTGAAAATAATTTTGAAAAAAATAGGTGAAAATTTGGGTTCGATGGGTAATTTTTGAAAGAAAATTTAGAAATGAGGGGTCAAAACGTAATTAAAAAAAATTACACTATGTAGGACCACTCAGTCAGTAGTCTCGACGAACTAGAGTACGTCGCGTGGTAAGGTATGCTGACTTGGTGCCACACAGGAAGCCACGCAGATAATTTGCATACCTACGATCGGACGTCCTAGATGCGTTCCCGCATGCGTGGACGGTCCGGATCCGTTCCCTCTTTAGGCATGATCGGATGATCGCTATTAAATGCGATGAACGGTTCAAATTTGTTCCATCTTTAAACATGATCGTACGGTCGAGATCAAATTATGATGAACGATATAGATTCATTTATCCTTTAAAGGCGATTGGACGGTCGAGATCAAATGCGATGAACGACCCAAATTTAAGGAAGACAGGTATAAATATCTCACTTCATACCGAACCGAACCCAAATCCTAGTCACTAGCCCCCTGCAGAAGAAGAAAAATCAGTCACCGGAGAAGAGAGCCGACACCGTGCCAGATCCACTTTCGATTGTTAAAAAAGGTAAAAAAAATTTTTACTCGCTTAAAATTTGATTTTGAACACCCCCATGGCCAAATCGGAGCAAAAGGATTGGCGGATGAGCCGAAAACTGCGGGTAAAGCCCGTCGACGTCGTCGCCCTAGAAAAAATAAAAAATCGCCTCCGATGAGTCCCTTTCCGATTCCCGTTTTGTGCAATTTTTTCACAATTATGTTCACCATTCTGTTTTCTACAGGTTGACAGAAGAAAAATGTCTAGCCACAAAGGTGAGCCGGTAGAGCCACCATGCTGAAAAATCTTGCTGCTGGTAAGTTTTTATTTTTCGACTTTTTTTGGCCAACTAAGACATCCTAACGTGTTTTTTCGCAGGGATGGGTATAAAACCGAGTGAAACTGACCAAAACTTGCTGAAAGCGACTAATCCAAGGCAAATCGCCGCCGTGCCGAAACTATAAAATTGGCTGGAAAAGGTTTTTAACACCGGTTTTAGATTTTTTTGGGTATTTCTAGGTACGTGAAGCGTGTTTTAATCTCCGCAGGAAAATTCAAGAAACTCGGGGACCACCAGTAGGCGTAGTAGGAGTTCAGTGTTTCGAACATCGATTCGGATAAGAATTTCTCACCTTATTCTCTGTTATAGAATTGAAGTTTAATTATCAATAATACGATATTTTACATAATTTGAAAAACTTCAAAAATTAATTACAGGTTATTAATGGAACCAGAACCAGTTATTTATTATTGTTTTCTTATTTAACTGATTGATTGATTTTACAGCTTTAAATGCATGATAATATACTAGAATTTGTAAAATAATTCAGTTGTGTTTCTTTGATGCATGTATTGTTTATCTTGTATTGATTTACGGTTAAATTGTAAAACTGCAAATTAAATGTAAACAAAAAATTGATTGATTAAGTGAATGAACAAATGGTAGTCTTACTAGATATCCTGGAAGATGGAGGACGGACCGAATACATAGGGAACCCTACCGTGAACGTTACCTCATACCGGAAGAGGTATTGAAGATTGATATTTTGACGCTCATACCGAATGGGGTATGGGGACGACCTGTTTCACCCTCATACCTGACGAGGTATTGAAGGATGATATTTTTGGCACTCATACCGGATGAAGTATGAGGACGACCAATTAGTTGACAAGGTTGGATGTTGGTTCGCACGTAGTGAGACATCCCTATGGACCCCCATAGATACCAGTAGGCAAATAAAAAGAAAAAATTATTATTTTTACTTACTTGAATATGAGATTATGATGTTATTGAGCTATTGTCTCTATAGGTCGGTTTTGAAAATCTCGCAACGGTAAATATGAAATAAATGATTTTACTTATGATAAATGAATTTACTTAAATTAAGAGCTCTATTGGTTATTTTCATGATTTTTACCAACCTTCAGTTTCTGTATCGGTGAGTAGTGTGATATTCTTACTGTACTAGTGTAGCTCACCCCTTCATTAACTATTTCAGATCAAGAGAACTAAGATCCATATCCCGATCAACAAGAGAGTTGTAAATAATTCACCACCTGAACTCCTTCAAAAGCTAGTGAAGGTCGTCATATGATGCTCAGTTGTTTACTTTTTATTTATTTCTTTGATTTTCGTTTATTCTTTTAGAAGGGATATTCCCGTAACCCCATTGAGTATTTTAAACTACTGTGTAAGGAATGTAAATTTTAACTATATTATTCTGCTTCCGCATTCAACTTATGATTTTATTTTCATTTAAGTTCCGGACAGTTACAGTTAGTATCAAAGCCATGTTCCTCAAAACTATTCCTTACACAAAAACCTTATAAAACACAAAAAATAATGAATTATCACTCAACCATTCTTTGTGAAATACAGGTACAAATGGATGAGGAGAGGAAGACCCCCACTAAACCAAGCAGCCCGGGAGAGTTTGCTTCGAGAGGATGTTCACCAACTATTTAAAATACTGGAGAGACTCATCGCTGCCCAGCAAGCTCGAGAGGAAAGAAGGGAGCTTCCTGAACCTCATCCGCTACCATAATTTGAGCCACCCCGGTACGATCCTGCTCCTCCATAGTAGCATCTGACACCACTACAGTATGGTCTGGTACCCCAACAGCATAACCCGACACCACCATAGTATAGTCCGGTGCCCCAATCGCATCACCCGACACTACCATAGTATAATCCGGTGCCTCCACCATACTTGCTACCTACATGTTGGTGGGAGAGGCAGACTGCTGGTGGTAATTCAAGTAGGCCACTTTGCCCGTTCCAATCACTTGGGAATAATTCTTGATGGCCTTCAATGTAGAGTACCTCCCAGAGCATCTCCAACATCTGAAGGAAATAGAGTTAGCATATCTGGTCTAGGGTGATATGACTGTATTAGAATATGTCTGAAAGTTCCTAGAGTTGGGTTGGTATTCTCCTAAGAACATG